TAATAATAATAATAATAACAGTTTGCTCAGCACTTTACAATATAAGAAAGACATTACAGTCACAATACAATTCAAGACAAGATTGTTAGGTGCCTCTGAGAGCTTACAATCTAAAAGGTAAGGCTAAGGCCTCATTAACACTGCCGCGCATATACGCGCGTATATGTGCGTACATGTGCGTTGTCCCATATGCAGCATATGCCAATAAATGGCTCCATACGCATAGCTGTGTATGGAGCCGTATATAGCCGGAGCGTAAAAATGCGCAAAAACAGAATGGAACCGAGATGTGTCCGGGCAGCGTATTTCTGCGTATTTTACGCGCATACACATGTTTGAGTGCGTATACACACGTAAACGCGTACAGTATATTAACATTTCTATTACGAATGATGCATTCTGGGATTGCATATAGTTAGGGCTGCAGCTAACGATTATTTTCATAATCATAGTGCATGCAACGTATATGCGTGTATATACGCAATATACAATTTTGCTCTTGCGTTGTGTGTGAATGAGGCCTAAGGGATACAAAAAGTGGTAGCTGTGTGGGAATGAGTTGTTTGAGAGATAGTTCAATGGTTAGGTTGAGCGGGATAGCCTTGCCTGAAGAGATGAGTCTTCAGGGATCACCTAAAAGCAGACAGAGTAGGAGATAGCCAGATAGGTTGGGGTAGGGAGTTCCAGAGGATGGGAGAGACTCTAGAGAAGTCCTGGAGGCGAGCATGGGCGTTGTTGATGAGGAGGCATGGGGGCTTCAGGCTTGCAGCGCTGGAGCATGGAGGCTGGAACCAAAGGAGGAAGAGGCTTGCAGTGCTGGAGCATGGAGGCTGGAACCAAAGGAGGAAGAGGCTTGCAGTGCTGGAGCATGGAGGCTGGAACCAAAGGAGGGCGAGGCTTGCAGTGCTGGAACATGGAGGCTGGAACCAAAGGAGGAAGAGGCTTGCAGTGCTGGAGCATGGAGGCTGGAACCAAAGGAGGGCGAGGCTTGCAGTACTGGAGCATGGAGGCAGGAACCAGAGGAGGGCGAGGCTTGCAGTACTGGAGCATGGAGGATGGAACCAGAGGAGGGCGAGGCTTGCAGTGCTGGAGCATGGAGGATGGAACCAGAGGAGGGCGAGGCTTGCAGTACTGGAGCATGGAGGATGGAACCAGAGGAGGACGAGGCTTGCAGCGCTGGAGCGTGGAGTGGGTGTCTACTGCTTTGAGACTTTGTGCTTAGTTTCAACATTTTAAAAGATGTTTAATATTGTCTCTTTAATTGTCAGGATGAATGCAAACAGTAATTCCTCATAAAGATATCACTCCATGCACAGTATTTCTTGAATGTGCCATTGCATTGCCCGCACGGCATGATCTCACTGATCAGAGTGCAATGGGCATGCATTATTGATGCTGCATCTGCATGACTTTGGCACACATTGTCTCATTGCTTTCAGCTAAGCTTCTCGGGCTCCCGAGGTGCAATGATTTGTATTCATTCTCTCTGCTCTGGTGTTGGAGATAAAACCATAATATTGTTTTTCCTTTTGAAGTGGCTGGATGGGAAGGAGATCGAACGGTCAGAACGAATCCAGGCCTTGCAGGATTATGGCCAAGTGGAGCAGCAAATCAAAGAACAAGAGGAGGCTTACTTGTTGAAGAGGGCCAGAGAGAGAGAAGAGGCCCAGGAAAAATCCACGGGCAAGACACCGCCGGAGAGGAAGCCGGGATTCGATGGACGCTGGTACACCGACATCAACAACACCTTGTATGTGGAGCACTGAATGTCTCTTGATTGATTTGATAGAAAACAATATAATTGCCAAATAGAATCTTTTTTTTTGCCATAGGCGTGCGTGTAACGTGTTCAGCTTACAGCCCTTCACAAACGCACTCATCGAAATAACCTAAAAGAAAAAATTTGAATAACTTTATTGAAAAAATAACAACCTTTGTCTCCAAGAGCGCATAGCTATAGACACTGCATATATAGATATGACTAAACACATGTAAAAATGACCCCAAAGAACCCCATCCATCAGTCAAATATAAACTGAATTACCCAGCTAAGAGGGAAGAGACACTTTAAAAGAGAACTATGGGGTTCTCTTTAGGGTCACAGGGGGACATACACTATATTGCCAAAAGTATTGGGACGCCTGCCTTTACACCAGTGGTTCTCAACCTTCCTAGGGCCGGGACCCCTTTTATTAGTGCTCCAGTACGATCTCAATCTCCCCTTCCCTGGCAGCTTGCTGGAGATCAGGCCCACTGCTGCCGTGTGTGGGAGCAGCAGTCTATCTCCAGCAGTCAGACATCCTCCTGCACAGCCACAATGGGTATGTTGAAAGTACCAAGCGTTGCTCCTTCAGGGCCCGGGAATCCATGCATCTCACTAAGCTTGCTTCCACCCACTTTCCTTCTGCTGATCCCATCCACCTGCTTTCCTGTTCGTTGAATTGCTAAAGATTGACCGTCTTTAATCTTGCATTTCAAAGAAACAGTTCGCTTTTACTTACAGTTCTCAGCTTCAGCCTCTTCCAGGTCCTTGCAGTATTGCCTTAGGGCATGGGTGTCCAATCCAAACTTACAGAGGGCCATGTCGGGGGCTGTGAATAAAACCAGGGGTCAGACTTTAATATCAGTTAACTGCTTCCTGGATGTACCAGGCCGTTAGCCCACGGCGCACGCGAGCGGGAAAGACACAAAATTTAAAAACAGGCATCGATGCCCGTTAACATACATCACTTCCACATTCTCGTGTCACTCTCCAGCTTCAGATGCTGGAGAGAAGCTGATGAAGCAGATTCTTCAGGGGGGTCCTAGGTGACATTAGGTGTCTGGGAGACCGCTGATGTCTCCATAAAGAGGACATGTCACATCTTTTGCTATCACATAGGGTGGTTTCTTAGCCCCCTATCTGATAGCAATAAAGTTAATTGAAAAAAAAAATAGGAAAAAAGAATAAAGTTTCCAAAACAAAAATGTAAAGTTACACATAAAAAAGAATGCATGACGGAGTAAATGTCAGTCAAAGTACCGCAGCGCTGAATACTGAAAAATGGCCTGGACAGGAAGGGGATGTAACACCCCGGGTTTCAAGTGGTTAAAAAAAAAATGAACGCTGCTGCAGTACAAGGATCGATGTGTGTGAGGGCACTACAAGTGTCAGAAGTCCCTGTCCCTGGACAGGGACTGTTGACACTTGTAGTGGCCTCACCGACAGGACACCAGAACAATCATATAATGATGATATGACTGTCCTGGTGTCCTTTGTGTGAGGGCACTACAAGTGTCAAAAGTCCCTGTCCATCATATGACACTCCTGTGTGTGAAGGCACATTAAATGGACAGAGACTGCTGACACTTGTAGTGCCCTCACACAAAGTCAGTCCTAGCTGCACGCAGCGGGACTTACCAGGAGCTTCTAAAACCAGAGGCAGGGGCCGAGGAGGTGAGAAACTGAGAAACTTGCAACCCAGGAGGGAGGTGCGGCTGACAAGGAACATGAGGGCGAGAAAAAACCTGCAGCCGAGGAGGGAGGTGCCGAGTAGGAACGTGAAGGTGCAGGGTCCTCACATGGAGGTGCAGGGTCCTCAGAGGGCAGCCCAATACAAAAAAATGAACCCTGCTCGACATCTTGGTGATGGACGCCGGCAGAGAGAGGAGGGGACAGTCACCCGGCGCGATAAGGTATGCCGCCGGGTCCCCTCCTCTCTTCTGATACTGTCGGGCGTTCGGTCCATGACCAAGCGCACGACTTTTCAGAGGGGGGTGACACCAAAATGACGTGAGTCATTTTGGTGTCACCCATCCAATGGTGTCACCCGGGTGCGGGCCGCACCCCTCGCACCCCCCCTTGTGACGCCACTGGCACTAAGGCAAAGAGAATGACAAAAGAGGCAAAAACAAGATACATAGTTGCATAGTAATGGAGGTTGAATAAAGACACATGTCCATCAAGTTCAACCTATTGCGTGTATGTATGTGATTCTGCATGTGTATGTGTGTGTACCAGTCCCTCTGTGATCTAGTTTTTAGGAGTACCTATACCCCTGTTACAATATGTTACAATACGAGTATTTCATTAGAAAAAAAAAAAGTACAATGTGCGTTTGAAAACTAAATGTCATTCAGTTGGTTTAACATCTAGAAATGATTTCCACTGCAGAACAATTATTTAAAATAATTTTGGTGTATTTATCGTTTGTGTGTTTTGTATATTTTGTGCAATACTCGCCGCTGTCTGTACATTGCAGAGACTTCGTATTGCACTCTACGGAGCAAGGCTGACTCGCCCGTAATCCTTCTAACGGAAAATTTGTTTTGTGCTCCAGTTAATATTGGGTCACCTTAATCCCTTTGTCCCTACCACTCAATAAGTCATTCAGAGCTGGGATTGCGTTCTTTGATCACTGCGATGATGTGTAAATGACGCACAAAACTCTGCTGTAGTCATAGTATTTAATACAGTGAATAATGTTATTTTCTAAATAAAAGCTACTTAGTACATAGTGGAGGTATAAATAACCCATCTCTCCTTAGTTCAAGTCCCAGAATCCTCTGCTCACAGCTGCCAACATATTTTCCAGGCTACTATGTCCTGAAAGTGGCCCTGAATTTACAAAGTAAAGATTGTGCTATGTTATGGGGAACAAATGTTAATAGTGCCCCAGCAGTACCTTAAGAATGTAGCTTTATCTTCTGAAAAATAGCAGTGAACTTCCTGTTATGTGAGGGTGCCTAGGCACTCCTGTTCTGTAGCCTCATAGCTGTATATATCTGCCGTGTGAGATCTAAGGCACTGCTGCCTCTGACTGCTAGTCTCAGATTTTGGAGTGGGATTTGGTGATGTCACAATTGTGCTGCTCACTGTTCTCCTTGCTGGAGAGGAAGATGTACCCGCTAGTCTTAGGAGATATGATGATGTCTCTATTTTGCTGCTCACTGTTCTCCTTGCTGGAGAGGAAGCTGTACCCGCTAGTCTTAGGAGATATGATGATGTCTCTACTTTGCTGCTCACTGTTCTCCTTGCTGGAGAGGAAGATGTACCCGCTAGTCTTAGGAGATATGATGATGTCTCTACTTTGCTCCTCACTGTTCTCCTTGCTGGAGATGAAGCTGTACCCGCTAGTCTTAGGAGATATGATGATGTCTCTACTTTGCTGCTCACTGTTCTCCTTGCTGGAGAGGAAGCTGTACCCGCTAGTCTTAGGAGATATGATGATGTCTCTACTTTGCTGCTCACTGTTCTCCTTGCTGGAGAGGAAGATGTACCCGCTAGTCTTAGGAGATATGATGATGTCTCTACTTTGCTGCTCACTGTTCTCCTTGCTGGAGAGGAAGCTGTACCCGCTAGTCTTAGGAGATATGATGATGTCTCTACTTTGCTCCTCACTGTTCTCCTTGCTGGAGATGAAGCTGTACCCGCTAGTCTTAGGAGATATGATGATGTCTCTACTTTGCTGCCGAGCCATGTATTTGGGCGAGTAATCGTACTCACCCAAATGCTCCTATGCCTAGCCCAATACTTCCGGTATCAGGAAGCCGGGCAGCGCATCATTGCACGCTGCCCGGCTTCCTGATATTGGGGACGGCTTTCCTGCTAATCGAGAAGCCAGGTGGCGAGTCTTTACACGCCGCCTGGATTCCTGAATGGCATTTCCGGTACTCGGTATTCAGCATCAGCGTAGAAAAAAAAATATCGGTACTCGATACCAAAATACCGATATCGGTGCATCCCTAATTGTAAATAATAAAATAAAACAACTATAGCAGGAGTAGGCAACCTCAGCTCTTCAGCTGTTGTGGAATTGCAAATCCCACAATGCATTGAAAGACTCTGACAGACAGAGGCATGATGGGATTTGGAGTGCCTAGGTTGCCTAAACATGAACTAGAGGTTCTCTTTAAGGCCTTGTTCACACCAAATGCAGAGCAGATCCGGTCCGGTTTCTGCACACGCAGTGCAGTGGGTTGTGCCGCGTTTTTGATGCGTTCTGGGCCGTTTTTTTTTTTTGTTTAAGATGGGCTTTCAGTGCGTTCCAGGCACTTGCATGCGTTTTTGATGTGTTTGCATGCGTTCCAGAGCAGGTAAAATAGGGCTTGCTGCAGTTTTTTCACCTGATCTGGACCTGCTCTGGAACTGCACGCTGCGATGTGAACTAGAGCCCAAAATACCATTGGAATACATTGGACGCAGTTTTGATCCCGTCTGTAACTGCTCTGCTCTGCACCTGGTCCGCCCTCCATAACATACAGATTTATGACCTGTTTGAATTTGAGGACTACTGTAATATCATCCTTTTGTTTTCCAGACCAGATTGCGAGAACAAAGAAAACCGTCCTGAAATGGCCCCGGGGGATCCGGACGCAACAGCCGATGAAAGTGAGGAGGACAAAGCATTTTGGCAGGAGCCGACGCACTACACGCCAGAAAGTCGTTTAGAAATGCACAGATACCTTGAGGAAAAACGCAAATCTAAAGAAAGCCAGAGGTAAAGAATAGCGGAGAATCATCGCTTTGTTTAAATGAGCTTATCGCTTTGCAGTATGCAGAGCGCACACTGTTTGGGATTTGAGTGATTGCAAACTCTAGTTAAAAATGGGGGCACATAAATCACTGTAACACGGCTGGGGGGGGGTCAGGTGGAGAACCTGTTAGCCATATGGACATGCAAATTATTTATACAAATAAAGAAGACATATTCCTTAAAGAAGAACTCGGGGCAACATTTTGGTTATTAACCCTTGCAGTGGGGCTACCCCACACTACACGGGTTAACTGCTTGTTTTGGCCTAGGGATCCTCAGAGGCGGCTTGCTCTTAGACCGGTCTTTCCAACCTCTCTCCCCCTCTGCTGCAGCAGTCTAAGGTCTCTGAGTTATCATGTTCTATACACAGTGTATAGGACATGATGACGCTGAAGGGACAGAGGAGGAGACAGGCAGGAGGTAGCGCTGTCACACCTGGCCGGCATGGAGGATCAGATGAGTATAACTTAACCTTTGCAGTGCGGGGGTAGCCCCTCTGCAAGGGTTGGTCAACATTTTGCCCAAAGTTCTTTAAAAGTGAACTCCAAGAAAGCCACTAAATACACAGCTGACATATTTATGCCCATTTATATAGCTGCTTAAGGATTTTCAACTCTGTTCAGTAAAGACGGCCATACACTGATCTATTTTTCTCCTTCAACCCGCAGGCTGAACCAGAAAAATAGAGCCGATTCCTCCATCAACACTTAGGCTTGAGTCGATCGGGGAATCCAGCTGTCTGCACTGTATTTTGACAGCGTCCGCCAGCCGCTTCACCCCATTAGTCCTGCATTCCTTTGCTCGTGCGGTCAGACCGCTGCTGACACGTCCTCCTGCCCAGCCCTGCAGTTTGAGTGACAGCGGCTGGTATATATGGTGTTGGCAGAGGCTGCCAATCAATGAGTCTGCAGCCCTTCAGAGCATGGGATACAGCGATGATTAGTGGCCACATGACTGCTCGTAAACATTGGGGAAAACCTAGTTACTTTTTTGTTTTATTAAAAAGGTCTGCCCTGTCTTAGTATTTTACAATGTTGTAAAACTAGTAATAACTGTGATTGCTATTACAGTGATCATGTGATTGGGAGCTGGTCCTCCCACCTCTCCAGCATTAGTCCAAGACCAGGCGCTGTCTGTGGTTTCCATGCTGGGGTTTGCAAGTGGCCACGTTCCCAGAACAAAAACAAGTACACATATATGCACCACCGCGGAGGAAAGCCTACTACTGTGGCCCCACATATATGTGGGACCACGGTGGACAGGGGTTAATAGTTTTTACAAAGAAAGTATTCACATACTCTTTAATACTAGAAATGAGCAAGGTTGAGAGTTTTCTTTTTCCCAAAATTTTGGAAAGAAATTGGGGGCAGCCTGCAAGCGCCATCCAGCATCATATATCTCACTTCCTTACAGCCTGTCAGGGACCCAGGGGGTCGTTCCTCGTCAGGTTCGCAGACGCGGGCATCGGGCACAGGTAGCTCCTCCTCCTCCCCCTGGCAGGGCATCTAGCGCTGGTATGGCCAGTGCGCGTGCGCAAGTCGCGTAGTGCGCCTGCGCCATTCCAAGCCACAGGTGCTACTCAGGCTGAAAAGGACTTCAGCCTTCACCACTTGCCCTCAGCCTTGTGATTGGACTCTGACTGGGGAAGCTTCCTGATTGGTATGGCCAGTGCGCGTGCGCAAGTCGCGTAGTACGCCTGCGCCATTCCAAGCCACAGGTGCTACTCAGGCTGAAAAGGACTTCAGCCTTCACCACTTGCCCTCAGCCTTGTGATTGGACTCTGACTGGGGAAGCTTCCTGGTTGCCCTGGCAACCAGGGGGCGGTCCTGGGCTCCCTGTGTATTTAAAGCTGGTCAGAGCCTTGACTCATTGCTGAGTTATTCTACCTCATGGTGAACACCCAGCTCCCTCCTGTGAACCTGTTGTTTGATCTGACTTCCCGGCTACCGACCCTATTCCTTGACCCTTAGACTACGATTCCTGCTGCCCGCCACGACCCGGAACTGGACCTGACTATCCGATTGGATTATACTTTTGTACTGCACTTTTTGGACATTATTCGTCCCTGCCAAGGGGTTCCACACCTGGCCCATTATTCCAGCCCAGGGCGTCAAGAACCTGCCCCCTGCCGCCCACCACATCAAGACGCCCTGGATTCACAGGAGAATGATGTAGAAAGAGGCACCATGTGACAAAGTGGCGCCGCCCTCTACAGTCTTCAGGACCACCCACTGCCAGGGGGAAAAAAAGGGCCCATGACATCACATGACCAATACAAATTATGTAAAATAACTTTGCACTTCTTGTCGCATGTGCCTTTTATTTTATATTCTTTCTGCTTCACTCTGCTTTTGCTGATAGCGGCCATACATCATTTCTTTGACAAAGCTCAGAGTGAATCACTTTTTCCTCATTGTACGTGGACGGATCATGTCGCTGTACAGCATTTGTATTGTCTGGGAAATAGCTGCTGGGAAAACAAGATGCTCGGTGATTTATATCACTGCGGTGATTGGTGGTGCTTCTCTCATCGCTTGTATTCTATATCTCTGGCACTATTTTCATTCCCATCTCTCCTGGTTTTGATTTATTTTATGCTTGCAGATATTTTTTAGAAGGAAATGTAAAATATTTCCTTGGAATTTCTCAAACCATTGAACTTAGTCTGTTCCTTTTATGTGTACAGGTTGGGTTTGTATGGCATGGTATGTGACAGGCATGATATTTTAGATGATGATAAATGACCATATGCATAGGAAATTGCTCAAGTAAGTAAACAAATGTACCTATAGTTGTCACTAGAAAGGACGGTTTCCTCTGTAACCCTGTTTATGTATGCAAACCTGACTTGTGTTAGTGGGTAAACTTGGTGTTAGGCACCCTCCTGAATGGATAGAGTTAGGGGCTGGGTAAGTGTTAGGCACTCACCTGAATGGAAAAGGTCAAGTGCTGGGTTAGTGGTAGGTACCCTCCTTAATGGATACAGTCAGGGGCCAGGTTAGTGTTAGGCACTCTCCACAATGGTTACAGTCAAGGGCCAGGTTAGTGTTAGGCACTCTCCTCAATGGATGCAGTCAGGGGGTGTGTTAGTTTTAGGCACACCCCTGAATGGATATGACAGGGGTGGGCAACTCCGGCCCTCCAGCTGTTATGGAACTACATGTCCCATGAGGCTTTGCAAAATTGACAGTTACAGGCATGTCTCCCAGAAGCATGTTGGAATTTGTAGTTAACGTACAGCTGGAGGGCCAGAGTTGCCCACCCCTGGGATACAGTCAGGGAGCAGGTTGGTGATAGGCACTCTCCTGAATGGATATAGTCAAGGGCTGGGTTAGTGATAGGTACCCTCCTGAATGGTTAAAGTGAGGGGTCAAGTTAGCGTTAAGCACTCTCCAGAATGGATACAGTCAGGGGGCAGGTAAGTTTTAGGCACCCTCCTTAATGGATACAGTCAGAGGCTGGGAACAGTCAGGGAGCAGGTTGGTGATAGGCACTCTCCTGAATGGATATAGTCAAGGGCTGGGTTAGTGATAGGTACCCTCCTGAATGGTTAAAGTGAGGGGTCAAGTTAGCGTTAAGCACTCTCCAGAATGGATACAGTCAGGGGGCAGGTAAGTTTTAGGCACCCTCCTTAATGGATACAGTCAGAGGCTGGGTTAGTTTTAGGCACTCCCCGGAATGGATACAGTCAGAGGCTGGGTTAGTTTTAGGCACCCTCCTTAATGGATACAGTCAGAGGCTGGGTTAGTTTTAGGCACCCTCCTTAATGGATACAGTCAGAGGCTGGGTTAGTTTTAGGCAGTCTCTGGAATGGATACAGTCGGAGGCTGGGTTAATTTTAGGCACTCCCCGGAATGGATACAGTCAGAGGCTGGGTTAGTTTTAGGCACTGTCCTGAATGGATACAGTCAGAGGCTGGGTTAGTTTTAGGCACTGTCCGGAATGGATACAGTCAGAGGCTGGGCTAGTTTTAGGCACTCTCCTTAATGGATACAGTCAGAGGCTGGGCTAGTTTTAGGCACTCTCCAGAATGGATACAGTCAGAGGCTGGGTTAATTTTAGGCACTCCCCGGAATGGATACAGTCAGAGGCTGGGTTAGTTTTAGGCACTGTCCTGAATGGATACAGTCAGAGGCTGGGTTAGTTTTAGGCACTCTCCGGAATGGATACAGTCAGAGGCTGGGTTAGTTTTAGGCAGTCTCCGGAATGGATACAGTCAGAGGCTGGGTTAGTTTTAGGCACTCTCCGGAATGGATACAGTCAGAGGCTGGGTTAGTTTTAGGCAGTCTCCGGAATGGATACAGTCAGAGGCTGGGTTAGTTTTAGGCACTCTCCGGAATGGATACAGTCAGAGGCTGGGTTAGTTTTAGGCACTCTCCGGAATGGATACAGTCAGAGGCTGGGTTAGTTTTAGGCAGTCTCCGGAATGGATACAGTCAGAGGCTGGGTTTGTTTTAGGCACTCCCCGGAATGGATACAGTCAGATGCTGGGTTAGTTTTAGGCACTGTCCGGAATGGATACAGTCAGAGGCTGGGTTAGTTTTAGGCACTCTCCGGAATGGATACAGTCAGAGGCTGGGCTAGTTTTAGGCACTCTCCTTAATGGATACAGTCAGAGGCTGGGCTAGTTTTAGGCACTCTCCAGAATGGATACAGTCAGAGGCTGGGTTAATTTTAGGCACTCCCCGGAATGGATACAGTCAGAGGCTGGGTTAGTTTTAGGCAGTCCCCGGAATGGATACAGTCAGAGGCTGGGTTAGTTTTAGGCACTCTCCGGAATGGATACAGTCAGAGGCTGGGTTAGTTTTAGGCAGTCTCCGGAATGGATACAGTCAGAGGCTGAATTAGTTTTAGGCACTGTCCGGAATGGATACAGTCAGAGGCTGGGTTAGTTTTAGGCAGTCTCCGGAATGGATACAGTCAGAGGCTGGGTTAGTTTTAGGCACTCTCCGGAATGGATACAG